ACGTCCACACACCTTTTACACCGTTTTACTCAATTTCCTTTTTATTGAAAAGGAAATTAAAGTATAACTAATGTCATTTGTTTTTAAAGATTTTATTAAGTATAAAACTTGTGCAGGTATGCTAATTCAGAAGGAAAACTTTGTTGGGAGTGGACAGAAATATTACCCTGACTAGCCAATGTAAACATTTCAATTGCATTGTCTGTAAATTTGCAACAAACAAATATACAGGGGTCATTTTCTTTTTTATCAGTAGCCTACAGAACATTCTCAAAACAATAGGGCTGCAGGTTCAGCTCTTACTAGGGCTGGGCAAAAAAAATATTTTTCGATATATGGTTTTTTAAAATGTGGTCGATTCAATGTTGATTCTCGATTTTTTTCAATATTTATTTCTGCAAACATTGAACATAAGATTTACGTTCATCTTATTACTAGTCTAATCCACTAGATGTCACCCCCTTATTTGCCTTGCGCGATGTTACAACGGTGAGTCCGTCATTCATTCATTGCTTAAAATGGCGGATTCAGGTGCTTTCCCGACGTCAACACCACCTTCCAGGGCTCTACAGTGCGACTGAAAACTACTGCGTGCGAATATAAACATTTTTTTAGGAGCACCAGTGCGACTGACCCGATCATCATCATACTTGTGATTGCGCTCAGGGGAGATTCAAATGTTTCTACGTGTTTTTGCAGCGTCGAGTAATGTATCACAGACATATCTCACGAATCCTTTCATAAGCAAAGTGAGCGATTCATTGCGCAGTGTAGAGAGCTTCGTTGATTATAGATGTGAGATCGAAATTAACTAAGATGAGTGCCAGCTTTTAATGATTTTTAAAAGAGTTTGTAAATGTGATACTGATTTAATACAATTCAATAAACAAGAAGTTAATATTAAGTGACTTACATTGTCTGACTATAACACTATTGTCTGATTTTGCTCTATTTCGTTGTCGAAAATAGTTTAAAACAAAGACACAGCGGAGCTGCTGCGCATCTCCATACAAACACAGCGGTGTTTCGTTTATGAATGAACTTTTTTTTTTCAGTGATTCATGATTACCTATTCATAAAAACAGTCACTTGATTCATTCCTGAATGAATTAGCTGTTCGAACGAATCAATTGAATGAATGATTCAGTGATAAAAATCTGGCGGAAACGGGCTTCCATACAAAACAGTTTGGTTATCCATATTCTTCAAAATATCTTCTTTTGTGTTCAACAGAAGAAAAGAAGTTCATACATGCATAAATAATGACAATATTTTTACTTTTGGGTGAACTTTCACCCAAAAGCCAGTATTAGTTTTCCTACACCGTTCATAGGCTTGCAGCCTCCATGTTACATTTAATGCTGTGAGATTTTATGTTTGTTTTGTCTTAAACATAAAATAACCTGATCCTGTTTGATCAAGGCATGCGACTGTTCTGACTTGTCCAATTTTCAGCATCAGTTTTTCATCTTGCATCAAAATTCTGTCTATTCATTGTATGCATTTGAAATATAGAGTTGGGTTTTGTTTTATTGTACCCAAGTGTACCTAAAATAAAAAGTGTTTAATATACAGGTTTAATTTCCTATTAATTAACCATTTGTAATCTTATGTTCACTGTTAATTTTTTATAAATATAGGATTTGTATTAAATCTATATTCATTCATATAGTCAAACCAAATCGAGAATAAATCGAAGCGAAATCGAATCGAATCGAGAGCTTGAAAATCTAAATCGAATGTAATAAAGAAATGAGCAAAGATGTCTAGAGGTTTTACCAAATGTTGTCTAAAAAAGGTTCATCTGGCGGGACATGAAGCGCGATCACACCCCTGAAGTCTTCCAGTGGCAGGTTCTACTATTTGGCACTGCGTGCTCACCGTGCTGTGCCACCTTCGCCCTCCAGAGGCATGCGAGAGATCCTGGCGGGCCAGATGAAGGAATCCAGCATTCGGTGGAGCTAAACTGCAGAGCTGTGGCACTCCGGGAATTGAGTTTGAGACCAGTGCTTTACAGTATACAAAATGGCCACTAGATGACAAGATACTCTTGCTTAATTGAAAAACTGTACTATACTTAAATAATTTACTAATACTTTGAACTACTGGCCTAATTTATGGACCTTCTTGAAAAAGGCACATATGAGTTTATTACAATACTACAAGTGTCATAAAAAAAAAGGTTGGGGTAACATATTTATTCGATGGAAATCCTACCCTCAAATGAATTGTTCATCCAATTAATTATTTTTTTGAGTGACGTACATATGAAAATTAAGTAAGATATTAAAGGCCAGACGACATTTTATCCAGTTACTACTGGTGAAAATCTGACATTTGAGATTATGACAGAGAGCAAATATTAATTATATTCAGTCTATTATATTCAGTAATAAAGTAGTATAATAAAACACACTACTGATCATTCATTGAATATTTGAATGGTAAATTCTTTCAATTGAATTATTTAAATATATTTAAAATGATGTCTACTCACACAAGATGACTGAAAAAATTATGCATTGAATTTATTAAATTTTTTTAAAGGTATAGTGTCACGAATCCTGTCCGTGGTCTTCCGTCTGCTCACCACCAGAGGTCGCCTTCTGATTATATTGACTCTCACACCACACAAACTGTTGCACGTCATCCTGGATTACATTTCCCATGCTCCATTGCACTGATTGGACTCACCTGCAGCCAATCACACACACACACACACACTATAACAACAACTCAATCCTTTTCTAATCGCCTAGTATTGTTTATCACTGTGATAGCTACTTTATGGAGCCTGCTCTAGTTTTCATAGTCTGATCATAGTCTTGCCTTGCTTGTTTTCCTGGTCAGTGTTGCCAATTTAGCTACCTTGTAGCTAGATTTAGTGACATCCCCGCCCCTTTTGAGACTTCAAAAGTTTAGGGACAAATATAGCAACTTCTTGGACAAACCTTATCTAAATTCTCATCTTGCCCACTGATCTACATTAATCTTTATATAGATCAGTGAATTTGCCATTGTGATGTCGTCTAGTGACATTTAGCTACCAGTTTTAGCTACTTTCAATTGAAAGCAGTTGGCAACACTGTTCCTGGTCCCTGATTCTTGCCACATATCTTGGATTAACCCTTTGTCTTGCTGTTTCGGACTGTGTTTACACCTCGCCTGGACTATTGCTCGTGTTATTGGATTACCTCTCGTCAAGCCCTCTGGATACTGTTCGCCAATCGAAGACCACGCTAGCCCTAGGAATATTCTTTGTCCTGCCTGTGATATACCCATGTTATCTGACCCTTGCCTGTTTATTGACCACACCTTTGTGAATGAAGCCTTGCACTTGGATCCGCACTGCTCACGTCTCATTCGCCCCGTAACAGTAAGTGGTTGCAATCAGTTTATTTTAGCTGCATATAAGAAACTAATTTAGTTGACTAACTTTCAGCATTTTTTTATTTATATAATGTTGCTAAAATAAATGGTTTGCAACCACTTAATATTTAGTATCATCTTTTTTTCAATGTGGCACGAGGTAAAATGCCCCCAGAAGACCACCTGACTATTTTTATTTTATTTGTTCAAAGATGGCACAAAATCCATTTCAGCACATTTGTAATTGTTACTTCACCTGAATATCAACATGCATGTTTTGAGGTTAACTATTCACATTTTGTAATCTATGACCGTATTAAGTTGAATTTCAAAGGTTTTGTGTCTATTCGTTAAGGAGAAGTTTGTGGACAATGTTTTTATACTTGTGGAGCAGATGTTATAGTTTTTATACTGAAGTAAAAAGATAAGAAACCCTTGGGGTATAAGATGGGCCGCCATAATTGGCACAGCGGTCCCAAGTGGCATGTTGTTACTAGTGTTTTTTTTTTTTTTTTAATTAAATATTTCAATGAATTAGATGTACATTTCAAACATCTTAGCTTTTTTAATTTAAAGGGCCTTTAATTTTGTTGTAAACCCTTTTTGTTTACTTTTCCTTGACTGCACTTCCTGTAGGTCAAGGGTGCCCAAACTCGGTCCTGGAGGGCCAGTGTCCTGCAGAGTTTAGCTCCAACTTGCCTCAACACACCTGCCTGGAAGTTTCTAGTATGTCTAGTACGAGCTTGATTAGCTGGTTCAGGTGTGTCTAATTGGGGTTGGCACTAAACTCTGCAGGACACCGGCCCTCCAGGACAGAGTTTGGAGACTCCTGCTGTAGGTGCTATATGATTTTTCTGTATATTTGAACGTTTTAACAATTGTTATAACACCAGTCAACCTGTAGTAATAATAGCATGGATCAGAGCCACAGTTAAACACAAGGTTTACACACTTCAGAGGAATGAACTTATGGTTGGCTTATTTATAATGCCACTCTAAATGGAATGGGAGTCACTTAAAATATAGACACATGGAGAAATGATGTTCAGGATGCAAAAATGTTTCATTTGTTTAACTGGCTCATTATTAGGAGTGGCCGATTGTATACTAAACCTTACTTTCCAAACTGCAATCTAAATGCAGGCCTATTTTTATAAAGTTATCAAATCAATCCTGTGTCCAATAAAAAAAGCTGAGGACTATTCTTAAAGAATCGACAGAACTACAATATTTATAATCATATTCTTAGTATTAATGGCATTAAATTCAAATATATAATACATCTATTATAATTATTCAGATACAATTATACAGATATAATACAGATGAAAATTTCTGTCTTGAACAATAGTTCTTCACTTCAGTGTACTTAAAATTAAAAATAAATTTTAACCTTTACAACATCTGTACAACTGTTTATTTACAAAATCGGATTGATTAATGTCTGATGTTGATGTCTGTTCTCTTCTCTCCTGTTCTGGATCTGAAGTCATAAAACAGAACAGCCACAGCAGCCACAGCAGCCACGCCCATCAGAGCAGTGACGACCAATCGGGTCACAGCTTCAATTTCAACTTCACAGTTCATTAACAATCACCACTTCAAAAAGTCTAAGATCACTAAAGACATACCTGAACTCAAATAGAAGTCAGTAATGTCCAAATGTTGAGTCTGGTTGCTGATAGGATTGTTGAGCACACAGCTGTAGGTGTTTTTATCCTGATATTCCACCTCCAGAGGTAGAGAGAGACTGATGCTGAGATCAGACTCACTGATGCTGGACAATAAACTATTTCCTTTGTACCAGGAGAGAGTCACATGACTCGCATTCAACACTGAACACAGGAAGATCCTCGATGATCTTTCAGATGATGAAGAAGATGGTAACATGTCAATGAAGATTACAGGAATGGGCAACAGAGCTGGAAAACAAGGAAGAAATGACAGTAGGTATGAGGGATGCTTTGTCAGTGATTATTGTGTGCAGAGTCCAAGTTTATTGTGATATGACTCCGTGAACATTTAATCAGTGCTGATACACTCCCATTTTAACATTTATAGTTGATTTACATTTCATATAGAATTACACTGTTTAAGAGACCGATGACATAAAAAGCTAATCAAAATATATATATATATATATTTTTTTTTATATAATATAAAATATGCACTCTATTAAAATGGTAAACATCTACTCACCATAAACAGTAACACTGTAACTCTTGATTGACTGCACATTTCTGACCATGATAGTTAGATCATAAACTCCAGTGTGTACAGACCTAGTGTTAGTGATGGTGAGTGATCCAGTTTGATTATCGAGCTGAAGTCTGGAGTCTATGAATCTCAAATCATCTTCATAAGATGTAGAGAAGATACCGCTCACTCTTTTGATTCTAGCTATTCGAATGTTTCCAAATGTCCACTCTATCTCATCACACGTCTGTATTTCAGTAACATTAGATTCTAGAATAAGAGTATCTCCCTCCATCGCTGCCAATGACTTCACTCCATTTGTCTCCGCAACAAAAACACCTGCAGAACATGTTTAAATATTTAAATATATACAGTAATGTTCTGTTGTTAACATGCATTGAGTGTCATGAAATAATGTTTTAATTAAATGTTAATTCATAAATCTATATTTGTCAATTGTTTGTTCATAATATATTCATCATGATTAACATAGCTTGAATTTACATGTGAACATTTTAACTTAACTGTAGTGTTACTAATAATTTAACGTTAAATCCTCTGACTCAAACATCATTACTGTGTGATGTTAATGGCGTCATTAAAAATACATTCATACTTACCAAGCAGATGACAAAAACACAAAGAAAACAAAATCAACGCGTGGATCATTTTCTTAAACCGTACGGCATAAATCGCTTAGTCTGTAGCTATCAACAGAACGTGTCATAAACTTGCTCCACTATCGTAACAACCGTATGAAGATGAATTCGAGGTTTGTAGAGCCGAACGAAAAAAAACACCTCTCACAGTCGCGCCTCCGTGAACGCGCTCAAGTATCAGCCTCCCACCCATCCACCCATGCAGATTAAAGGGGTTATGTGACGTTGCTAAAAAGAACATTATGTTGTGTATTTGGTGTAATGCAATGTGTTTATGCGGTTTAAGGTTAAAAAGCAAATTTTTTCCACATAATGTACATTATTGTTTCTCCTCTATGCCCCGCCTTTCTGAAACGCGTCGATTTTTACAAAGCTCATCGGTCTGAAAAGCGAGGTGTGCTCTGATTGGCCAGCTATCCAGTGCATTGTGATTGGCCGAATACCTCAAGCGTGTGACGGATATGTTACGCCTCTTACCATATTGTGATGATGCTCTATCTCCCAGAGCACAAGACAAAAACAATAAAATCCATTACAAACGAGGCATTTGTAGCATCCAGTGGGGACATAATTACTGATTATAATGATTTATACTGTCTTTTTACGCGTTGCGTTGTGTATCGCGCTGCGTAAACATGAAACCATGTCTGGAGAAATGACAAACAACAAGCGATACTCTACATTGCTCAAAATTCGCGTTTGAATCATCGGTGGCAAATTCTTTAAATATGAAAACGTACTTACAGACTGTGAGTCAGAAGCACCAGACTGTCCTTGCAAAGTTGGAACTGCCTCACTTTATAGAAACAGACACCGGCATTGTAGGCTAATATCACAGGAAACAGTCCTCATCCTCTGCAAAATGCGCTGCACACATCTGAATATTTGGGTTGTACTGTTCTGGAACAGTGTTGTAAATACAACTTAACCACTGATTTCTAGTCATGTCCTCTTTTGGAAGGCCAAACAAAGTAGTTTCACTTTCACAACGAAACACACGGCGGGCTAGAGTGAGCGGCGGGGGGCTGGCTTAAGAACGGCCGGCCGATTCGACGAAGGAGGGCTTGTGGCAACCACATGTGACGACCCCGGGCTGGACTCCGCTTCGTCCATGGTGAAAGCCGATCCGGCGATCCACAGCGCAAAGTTGATATATTCAGCATGGACCAGCACGGATCAGCTCTAGGCATGACGAAGCAGATATCATCCTCTTTTGGAAGGCCGAACAAAGTAGTTTCGCTTTCACAATGAAACACACAGCGCCTTCACGCCATGGCAGCGGCAGTAACAATACTACAGCGAGAATAAAAGTTACGCCTTCTTTCTTTGCATTTACATTTGGGCGGCGTTATGCAAATCTTTCCACATTGTGACGTAGATATGTGGGGGCATGTTAGAACGAGCCGTTTTAGGTAGGAGTGGTTAACTCTTAACTTTTATAAAGAATATCTCTTTGGATTTTAGACTTTAGTCTTTGCAACTTTACAGATCTTCTTTATGCACCAAGAGCTTGTAACACTCCAAAGAGAAAGGAAAAATTTAAATTGCATCATATGACCCCTTTAAAATTTAGGATTATACAATCATGCGCCTCAGTGATGGGGGTAATAATTTGGCAGGGAGTCCAAATTCGGGATACGAAGAGCCCAGTGCATTATGGGTCTTGAAGTTCCCTATCTAATCATGTATCACCGATTTAATAATAATAATAATAAAATAAATTGCCTTTCTACTACAAAGACAGCCAAATTTGATATGTTACCAGCGGTGAACTGCCCTTATAAGAGCAAGATGTTTGTCCACTCAAAAGAAGCCACATTCATTTGGGTCGTTCTGCCACTGAACTGACCTGAATTCAACTCAGACCGCAGCAGTTTTCACTTTGACTCCGAAACGAAGCTGTTAGAGTGCCAAATGCATTCAGATATTTCATCTTGCATAAATTTTTTTACTGTTTTTATTTCACAGTAAAGCTGTTTTAGGGGAAGTCATACGGTGAGATTCATGTTAGCAGGAAATTAAGTCCTTCATGCACACTAAGCATACAAGCTCACACAACCAGAAAGAAAAAAAATCACACTTTTTTTTATCATGTGTGTGTTGGCGTGGTCTTTCTTTGGGTTCTTCATTTTGTTTTGTTTTTTTTCACACTTTTTTTTATTCCAACGGCCTGTAATCATGTTTAGAGATAAAGATTCTGAACCATGAACCCAAAAGACATCTGTTCTCCAAACTTCTCATTTCCAAACATGTTTCATTTCACAAAAGAAGCTGAAAGGAGTTCATTGTTGAATTGACCGAACACACTAATTCTGTGTTTGTGTTCTTATTTCACTTCTCATTTTATAGCTACTGAATTAACTTTTCTTTCTTTCTTTTTTGTCCCCATAACATACTATACCTGAACTACACATACAGGAAACTCAGCATGGCTTGTGACAATTTTTGTGGAACAACACTTTTGTGTGGTTTTTCAAAGCCATTGCATTTTGACACATCACCACCCCTAGAGTCATAAACTGAGAATGTATGAAACAACAGTGACAGACTGGGGTCAGGTGTATTCCAGAATAAACCTTTCACAAAACCTTTCATCAGAGTTGTCCTAAAACTTAAAACCAAAATGCGTTCTTGTCTTAGGACAACTTTGATTAACTTTTTTTTGATCCACTTCAAATGTTGACTACTGTATACCCTAAATTCGTTAATTAAGTTAATTGGATGATTAACCGAAACCTTGCTTGCTTGAGGAATACATGGTTTCAGAAATGCATCCGGGAGTAGGTTTAGTCATGGCGAACGCACAAAACATTCTCAACAGAGCGACGAATTTACGAGTCACCATGAAAACGGATGCTAAGAAAAAGCTAACTTCCTTCTTCTTTTGGTCAATACTATTAACAAAATCTTTTTTTATTTTTACTGTGAACAAGAATTATATTGTTCGATATTTTTTGCAAATTATAAAAGACAGACAGGTTGAACTAAAACAAAAGTATATACTTACAGCTATAATATTGTTCACAATCCATTTCACGTCCATTTCAAAGCATTAACAAGTGTTGACATTTCCCAACAGCACAGCAGTAACGACTTTATGAACTACTTTACTTCTAAGGTCGATACTATTAGAGATAAAATTGTAACCATGCAGCCATCAGCTGTAGTATTGCATCAGATAGCTTGCTATAGATCGCCTGAGGAACAATTACACTCATTCTCTACTATAGGAGAGGAAGAATTGTATACACTTGTTAAATAATCTAAACCAACAACATGTATGTTAGACCCTATTCCATCTAAGCTCCTAAAAGAGGTGCTTCCAGAAGTCATAGATCCTTTTCTAACTATTATTAATTCATCATTGTCATTAGGATATGTCCCCAAAACCTTCAAACTGGCTGTTATTAAGCCTCTCATCAAAAAACCACAACTTGACCCCAAAGAACTAGTTAATTACAGACCGATCTCGAATCTCCCTTTTCTGTCCAAGATACTAGAAAAGGTAGTATCCTCACAATTATATTCCTTCTTAGAAATTAGTGTTTACTATTGTCATTTTGCATTATTGACACATTATTTTCCTAATTAATGCTGTTCAGTTGCTTTGACACAATCTGTATTGTTAAAAGCGCTATATAAATAAAGGTGACTTGACTTGACTTGACTTGAGCCTCATCAATAGGGCATGCCTGCACTGATACATCTAAAGCAAAGTAGAGAGTCCTTTGAATTCATTAAACTATCCATAAGCTTACCCGGGGAATAACCAAAATATGATGAAAACCAAAGTGTGATGAAAATCAAAATATGTTGATAAATCTGTCAGCCTGTCATGTGAGCAGATCTGAATCTAAAGTAATGGTAATTCTGAGGCTGCTGTATGATTCAGTTTTATAAAGTTTTATAACTAAGGAATGCTTTGGATAATAATGTGCTAATATGTGTCAAGGCCAATAAGTACATTTTATTGATTTCTACATAAGGAACTTGATCTTTACTGATGAAGACAGAACTAAGTTGTATGTGTGATCTTGCCATGATTCAAGTCTGCATATTTATTATGATATGGACTATCAATATGAATTTCATACAAAAGCTGTCAATGTAGTAGCCTACCCCATATCAAAAGGAACTACTATGCACCCTTTTGGGGTAAATAAGGTACAGTGTGTTTTTTTGAGAGAGTCTGATATTACATATCACGTTTGTATCTGTCTCTTTCTGTGTGAAAATGATCAGTTCAATTCCACACATTTTTAAATAGTATGACGTAATATAACGCTTTCACTGAAATCACGTGACTTGGACAGTTTGGTACGAGGCGAGCCAGTCATCAGTTGGATCGCTGCTGTCATTCAGTTTGGATACTGTCAGATACCACATCAGTATGAGGAACCATTCTTTCATTTTTTGGCTTTTATTCTTCGTGCACGGTGAGTCATATTTACTTTTACTAATCTAATACTTTCGGTTTCAATATACACCGGAAATGCGCATCTGCTGTTATCATCTATTTTTTCTCTTCAGTGTTTCTTAAAATACACAATTGTATATTTTTTATTCAGCGTTTCTTAACACACACAGCTGTATAACTTTTCTATTCTACAAATAGACGTTGTCATAAATTACATTGTGAATAATGACAGATGATAGCGCCACTAGAAGGGTGTTTTGTGGGTACGTTAGCCTGTGTTTGATAGTGAATACTAGAGGGCGCAGACAGCCTGACAGCTGGTGGTCATGACATAGATATCAGTCCTCTAGATCCTAGTCTAGATCAGTGTTTCCCAACCGGGGTGCCGTGTAAAAATCATTTTTTTAATATTTTTAAATTGCTAAAATGTTCAAAAAAGCATCTATTATATAATACCATGTCTGATGTCGCCAGTAATTAGAGATGCACTGAAATTCCGGCTGCCGAAAATTAGTTCACCGCTCAAGATTCACTTTCACGTGGTGTGTGTGTGCTCCGCTCAGTCGCTCGCGGCCCATGTGAGTGCTCCACTCATATACCTTTCATGCTCATCGGAACAGCAAAGTCCACTCAAAAATCAAGCTGACAGGAAACATCGATGTAGTACAGTATTGTTTCTGTTTGAAACAGCCCTACTGTGCTGTAACAAGGTGTGGTAAATGGGCAACTCTGGTAACACTGCCCTCTCATTCTCATCATCTGCTAACCGCTATGCTCATGTGTCCTCTGATAATAGTAGCTTTCTAGGATTAAACCTTATATAATTGGTAACAAAAATATATATATATATCTTAATAGCCCTACTGTGTGTTAGACCTACCTGAAAAACTAAAAAGCAATTTATTTAATTTGTAGGCCTATCGTTATTTTTTATTTGTGCTATCATTAGTAATTTCTTTATTTGTTCTTATTTTATTATTAACTGCTTAGCCTCCTTGTCATTTTTTATTCAATTCAAAGTTTTAAATCAAGCTATCTCTGTTGTGAATCATCATCAGAGTCGGGATCCATTTGCAGCGTTCTTTATTGCGTAACCAGACAAGACAGGGTCAATCACCAGTAGATACAACAGTGTGGGCTAGGCTGAGACAGAAACGTGGGACGGGCAGGAGGTCGAGGCAGGCGGCAGACAGACACAGAAGAATGACAATCCAAGTCGGGGCAGGCAGAGACAGATCAGAATACCATAAACAGTCCAAGGTCAAACGAAAAGGCAAGATACAGGTTTAAACGCTCAGAAGTGACAGCCGGGGCAAATCAAGACTTTGCGGTGAGTGACTGTGAGTGTCTGGCTTATATGTGTGTGTGCGTGATTCAATGCAGGTGTGTGCGTGCAATCAGTCCCGGGTATGAGGCATGATGGGAACTGGAGTCCGAATGGATAAAGTTAATATTCAGGAGAGAGTTCCCTCTGGTGGCGAGGAGGAGGCGGTACGGAAGCCTCCTCTGTAACAATCTCATGCTACTGCAACAAAATTACCCAGCTGTAAAATCAAAAATACACTGAGTGAGCAAAACTGTTTAATTACCATTATAACTAGCTATCTCACAATGTTTACATATGAATAAAAGCCTACATTAAAATCTGTCATATAAATTGGTCTCTTCATTAGAAATTAGCCTACTGATTGCCACCATTGATGGACAAAAAAATTGAATAATATTAAAAATATCTGTATGACATTATATTCTGCAGTTCTTCCCTGCTGTACCAAATATCTATACTTTTCAAATTATCACATCGAAGTTAGAAATTCAAGTATTGTGACAAAATTAATTTTGTAGGGTGCCACAAATTTGTTAAAATTTCCAAAGGGTGCCGCGACTAAAGAAAGGTTGAGAAACACTGCTCTAGATAATTTCTAATGATTAAACTGATGACCTATATCTGTGAAGAACGTTAAAACATTAATATGGTTTCTTTACTGTGTTGGAATAAAGTTAGTAGCCTACTATTTAAGAATAATATTTAAGAACCATAGCATGTTAACAACAACATTTCACATTGGTTGTTTTGTTTCTAGTTTTATGTATTTTATTCAGGCTGTACTACTCAGATGATTGTTACTCTGTAGGTGGGTTATTTGTGTATGTTTTGATATTGAAATATTTGGTATTTCTGATACAACGCACTTTTTACAGTCAGGTTTAATACAAGAGACAACACAATAGATATGTAATTCACGGTAGCAATTGCTGCACTTGAAAATAATGTCAGGATTGTATTTATTCATTTATCATATCCTGCACTACATTGTGGGAGGATCCTGAGTAAATGCCTGAATATTTCTTTGCAATATGTATATATAAAATATGGAAATTACTTCGAACCTCATGTGTACTCCCTGTATAGAAATGGTTTCTGTTTGTTCTCCAGGTGTGTTTGGTGTTGATGAAGTGAAGTCAGTGTCAGTGATGGTGGGAGATTCTGTCACTCTAAACACTGATGATACTGAAATACAGGGAGCTGCGAAATTGCAGTGGAGAATTCAAGGTGAAAAAAAATTCATAGCAGTGATTGATAGAGAGACCCAAGAAATTTCAGTACCTGGGAATGATGAAGAAATGTTCAGTGGCAGATTAGAGCTGATCAATGAGACTGGATCTTTGACCATCACAAACATCACAACTACAGACTCTAGAGTTTATGAACTGCAGATCAAGATTGGCAGAGTGACCAAACCCAGGATATTCAATGTGTCTGTTCATGGTGAGTAACTCAGTGTGATCATTATGTGGAATAACGGTCTTTGAAAATAATTTAGAATAATCACAATAATGCTTTATCAGTAACTGTTTAGCCTAATTGTTGGACCATATAAGGAACTAGTTGGGATATTTAGTAAAAATGACAAGAATCTGTCATTTGTTAATTCTCTTGAACTCTTATTTAAGTGACAAAAAAAGATTTTTACAAAGAAAAAATTCCAATGTTTTCACTGAATAATTTGATTAAGTTAGATTGTAATGGCTGCCAAACACTCAAAAAATTTTTGAATAGAGACATGTTTACCACTGTGTCACATCACCTTTCCTTTCAATTATGATTTTTTATTAAATAAAGATACTAATTGTTACTAATTTAAATTTTTGCCCAATCTCACTTTATACAAGACTTCATCTGCCCAACAGTCCGTGGTCATCATCGTCTTATTCTCCTTTTCATGATGAGCCTGACATTTTCACTAAGAGCTTGAAAACATACTCTTTGAATTTTTTAACAGCTAAACTATAATTATTTCATTGTTATAGACTGTATATACACACTACCAGTCAAAAGATTTTGAACAGTAAGATGTTTAATGTTTTATAAAGAAGTCTCTTCTGCTCACCAAGCATGAATTTATTTGATCCAAAATACAGCAAAAGCAGTAATATTGTGAAATATTTTTACTTTTTAAAATAACTGTTTTCTATTTGAATATATGTTCAAATGTAATTTGTTCCTTTGATTTCAAAGCTGAATTTTCAGCATCATCACTCCAGTCTTCAGTGTCACATGATCTTTCAGAAATCATTCTGATATGCTGATTTGCTGTTCAAGAAACATTATTATTATTATTATTATTATTATTATCTTCAATAATTTAAAACAGTTGAGCACATTTTTTTTCAGGATTCTTTGATGAATAGAAGAAAAAATGGGGGGGGGATTATAGAAATGTATATTTTTATTCAGCAAGGATGCTTTAAATTGATCGAAAGTGATGATAAAGACATTTACAATGTTACAAAAGATTTCTATTTAAGATCAATGCTGTTCTTCTGAAATAGTATTCATCAAAGAAACCTGAAAAAATTCTACTCACCTGTTTTCAACATAAAAATAATAATAAATGTTTTTTTTTAAGCAGCAAATCAGAATATTAGTATGATTTCTGAAGGATCATGTGGCTGGAGTAATGATGCTAAACAGTCAGCTTTGAAATCACAGGAATAGATTACATTTTAAAATATATTCAAATAGAAAAGAGTTATTTGAAATAGTAAAAAATTTACAATTTTTACTGTTTTGCTGTATTTTGGATCAAATAAACTTCTTTAAAAAACATTAAAAATATTACTGTTCAAAAACTTTTGACTATATTACTTCCATAATGTGATGTATTTCAGACTGAAACAGGATAATCTATGAGAAAATGTGCAAGACAGAAATTGATTAAAAATGTAATCTTTCCAGATTTCTAATCCTCTCAAATTATCTCCAAATATTTCTAATACTCTCCAAATAAAGCATTTCCATATCCATAATATTAACAGTGATTATACAGAGGCTTCACTTGAAGCTTCAGACTTCACCAAAACCTATTAATCCTGTCATTCTATCATTTTAGACAAAACTAAAAACTGTGTTCTTTGAGCATTTAAAAATCATAACTTCATATGAATTGTTCAAAACGTGGTGATTTTGTGACACGTGCTATGTGAACACACACACAAAGTGGACATCATTCAAAAAAGTGATCATAAAAATAATCATAAAAAATAGCCAGACTTGTGTTGTACATGGTAAAAAAAAAAAAAGACTGCCATAAGAAGTGAATGGGATAAACAAAAAATATTAGAATACAGAGACATTTTTGGGACGTGCAATCTACAAATCAGCCATGATGCAGAAAAAAGCACACAGAAGTAATGGGGTGAAACTCTAAAGCATCAAAATTCCAAAAATAGACACACACACACACACACACACCTATCTATGTGTATACTGTGTATAACTGGTGTTACTGTAATGCAGAGCAAGTTTTGAGAATTTGTAAAATATAAAGTCAATAATTTAGCCATAATGCAAAAAAATAATCACACAGCATCAACTGATTATTTTTATATAAAGTTTGGGAATCCTTGGTTTGTACAAAAAGTCACATAAACAATGTCACCCATTTACTTACATTTGATTAGTCGCACAGAAATCGGCCACAACCTGAAATGCGTGTTACATTATAATGCTTTTTTTAAATATTTATTTTCACATTTAAAATAAACATCTCTGTTTTAAATTTCTGTTTGTTCTCCTCATATGTTCGTTGTTGTGACAGATGTTGTGGAGTCAGTATCAGTGATGGAGGGAGATTCTGTCACTCTACACACTGGTGTTACTAAAATACAGGGAGATGATCAGATACTGTGGAAGTTTGGAGATCAAGGCACCATCGTTGCTCACTTAACCTGTTAACAGTCGCCCCCGCTAGTTGAGCTCAAACCCAAACCTGACCTACACAAACTAAAACAGTCACAGTTCATCAACCCTCTGGGCTACAGGCAAAACTGAGGGCTCTTTAGAAAGATGATAGTTAAGAGTTTGTTGTTTAGAAGTCATAATTCATTAAATTACTATTAAAAAAATAAGAGAAGCTTACATATTTTCGAAAAGTTATTATCATTTTATCTGCATAAAAGATGTTTATGAATAAAATAAATGAAACTGTGCCAGAGCATGAAATAAATAAATGAATAAAGTTAAATGCATAGCTCTGAACAAATTATAATTCACATCTGAACATTAAGCCACTAAAAATGATATTCCTGTAAGCTTATGCTTAGTAAAAGGTCGTTTAAAAAAGGGCACTTGGAGACTCCAAAAAGGGCCATTAGTAATTTATATGTGGTGAAACACAATATAACGTAATTTACAATTGAACACAGTTGTTGAAGCTGCAAATTATGAACACTAAAGCATGTCTTACTTTACCTGAAACAAGGTTTTTTGTTTTTCTGGAAGCAATGGCACATAAGAGTCACAAACATGACTGGAGGTCATATCTATCCTTTATCCCTGTTCTCAGTTCATCCTCAAAGGTCTGACCCAAATGACAAAATCTGTGATTCCCGACTGTTATTTTGTCATCCACTCTTCACACATTCACATTTTTGCATTATGGCTGATATACAGGAAACGGCCCGCACTGCCATATCTCAGCACTTGCATTTATATCTATCTCTGATGCTCACATCACTTTATTTTACTTTCATTTTCTGAAATATACCTTTCGTACAGCATTGTAGATCCACCTATATACTTTTACCTCCAGGCTGCAAACATTTATATCTTTGCCTTTACATAAAATGTATAGTTGAAAAGAGGACATAGGTCGCCTGTATGCTGTAAACCATAATGACTGTGGCAGAAATGACTGTGGCATAATAACTGTGTCTGTTGGCTGACAGCATGTACAAAAAAGGCATGTAGCATAGTGTTCGTACAGTGTAAGTCTCTGTGTAGCGTACTGTGTAGTGTACTTTTCAAATAACTGTTTATACACTGTTTTAAGAAACTTACATTCAGGTCTGTCTCTATTCTGATATGGATTGCCCACTTTTTGTCATTCAGTCAATTATGATGTATAAAAAGTCCTACTCACTCTTTTTCTCATTAAATATCCTGTTTCACTTGGTACTGTAACATTATGGAAGTAAAATAGGTTGTGAAAACTGTTTCAAGCAAGTTTTAAAAGTTAAAATGAATGTTTGTGAGGTGAGGTTTGTTTTTAATGTTAAAATATTGTCTCAAGTACCTTTAATATGCAGAGTTGTCAATAAATTTGTCATTTGTAGGTTGATTCCCTAGAAAATGTAATACTGTGACTGTGTGGCTCTGTCAGAACACTGATCTGTTTGTTTGAGCATCAGATCAGTTTGACTAAGTGGTGCTGGCTCAACCGGTGGAGTGAGTATGGGGCAGGACTATATTTGTGGGAATATCAGGGGTGGAAGACAGATGCAGAAAGGATTTGGGAACCCATTTTAATACTTAGTAATTGCCATTACCCTAATTGCCACCTCCACTTTATTCCAGCAGCACATAAGTTACACAATGCACAAAATACACAATTTTAATACAAATAGGCCTATTACAATTCCTAAATGCCAACTTCTGTGCTTGAAAACCTACACACAAGGCTGATTACAAAAAACAGAATTCATATAGCCTACACTCTGTAATCATCTATTTGTTGGTCTCATTTTCCATTCATCAGAAATTCACTATCTTTAAACTGGCTGACTGTGTGCAGTGAATATTATAGGTTGTGCAAATTCGGACGACACGACAGCCGGTGGCGCTGTTAGACTGTTCTGAATGACTGACCAATCAGCGTTGTAGAAAGAACGCGGAGGGCGGTGTTATGATCATAGGATCATAGCAAACATGATAATATTATGTTTTACTGCTTAAATACATCCTAGAATACACAATTTATTGTAAAATTGAAAATAATTATAATTCTCTCTAAAGATGTTACATACATGAAACAGAATTAATCGATATTTCTCTTAAATCAACATTTTTTGGACTAAAGAATCTTAAATTATTTTATACTCTGGATTATTGCCGTTATAACTACGGCTATATTTGTATGATTTAATTTGTCTTTCATCTTGACAATACAAAAACAATTCATAACTCCCCGATTTAATGTTGCGTGTATTGGTGCGATCTCTTGATACGAATTGAAATAACGTCGTGGCTGTGACATTTTGAGCGTAAATATAAAAGCTTGAGACTTCAGACTTTCTACTGACATATTGCTTGTCAAAGTTAATTAGGGTTCTAATGGTGAAAGCATGCAGTAAATATAAACAAACATATTAGGAACCAGCGATGGTCTCGTGCAAGTTAATGGATTAAACAGCGCTGCTGACTCGAGGTGGAGTAACGTTCATCTGAATAATCAGACCGGAGATCTTACCATTGGAAACATCCGAAGCAATCTGACTGGGAATTATAAAGTGGAGATCAACAGCAGAAGTACGATCTTACACAAGAAATTACGTATTAATTTTAGTGGTGAGTAGCTCAAGCCTTCTATAAATGTTTTAATATTTTGTTAGTTTTGTGATTCTGTAAACACGTAATCGTAGGCCTACACTAAATAAACAATTTTAATGTTATGGAGAGGACCATGGATTTTATTTATTAATTTGTTAATTGGGGTGAATTCAGTTTGTTTACACTTTAGATATACAAATATCGCAGTAAGAAAAATATAATATTTAGGCTATATTTCAGTGTTTCCCAAACTGTAGTTTCTGAGGAATCTACAGGAAGTTCGCGAGTTGATGAAAAGCTAATGATTAGTTAAAAAATAAAAAGTCAAATTAAAATAAACAGTTTTATATTAAAAACAAACAGAATAAAACACGTATAGGCAGGGACTTGCAGAGAGTTCCTCAGGGGCAGGGGCTCAAATGTAAAATAGGGGCATTGTAAAAAAAAATAATAATAATTATAGGTCAAAAGTTTGGATACATTAGGCTATTGCAAGAAGTCACTTATGGTCATCAAGCCTGCATTTATTTGATCAACATTTTAATATAATTTAAAATATATTTTATTCAATACTGATTTATTATCCGTGTTAGAAAAGGTTGTGCTGCTTAATATTTTTATAACATGTGATACTTTTTTTCAGGATTCTTTGATGAATAAAAAGTAAAAAGTTAGCCTGGGGTCAGTATTTTTTTTATTTATTTTTAAATTTGTTTTTATTCATCAAGGATTTCATCAATTGATAAAAAAGTGATAGTTGGTAGAAAACATCTCTATTTTAAATAAATGCTGTTCTTTTTAACTTTTTATTTATCAGTGAACCCCAAAAAAGTATCACAGGTTCCAAAAAAATAAAATAAATTTCAGTTTCCAACATTGATAATAAATCAGCATATTAAAATAATTTCTGAAGGATCATGTGACACTGAAGACTGGAGTTATGATGCTGAAAATTCAGCTTTGCATCACAGAAATAAAAGATATTTAAAGTATTTTACAGTTTTTTTCTGAATTTTTGATCAAATAAATGCTGGCTTGATGAGCATAATACACTTTCTTAATGCTGCATAATTATCAAAAATGGTAATATAATAAAGTCCTTTCACATCACCGTTTCGCCAGCCTACACTTCACATAATAGGCCTGTAGTTGGCACTTGGGCTACATTGTTTGGTTTATTTTTTCTTTCCGGCGACCCATAGGCACTCACTGAAAGAATCATATATGGCTTGAGAGTCTAGGTTTCCGAACAGACTGTGGAATATCAGCCAGTCAAGCAAAACGTACGCAACCCATAGCAACGCCTCAGATTGACAAATTATGCAAAAATAAACAGGAATTTTCAGACTTTTGAGCGATTTATTACTGTTTTGTACACATTGTCATGTTAATTATAATTCAAATGAATTTTGTTTTACTGACCACAATATCATTGCTATTTGTCTGAGAGGGGCACTTTTGAAAAAGGGCAGGGGCTTGAGCCCTATGTTCCTCTGTTCTTCTCTCTGATTAACGTTTGTTGTATCTGTTCACTGAAATGACTGTAAAACACTGTTATAGAAACTTAATCTAACATTTATAAACTTTTCTTGGTTGTTTTCCAGGTGTGTTTAGTTCCGATGGGGTGAAGAAAATGTCAGTGAGGGATGGAGATCCTGTCACTCTACAGACTCGCATTACTGATATAACAGCAGATGATGGCATCCAGTGGACGCTTGGACCTCAACACACTTCCGTAGTAAAAACTGACAGAGAGAATCGAAGAATAATATATAATGAGCATGATGTGAGATTTACAGACAGACTGCATCTGAATATTCAAACTGGAGATCTGACTATCAGCAACACCAAGACTGAAGTCTCAGGACTTTATCAGATAAAGATCATCAAACACGTGTATACCATAGAAAAGAGCTTCAGTGTTTCTGTCAGTGGTAAGTGCTTTAATAAGTCTTTCAAAAGCAATGTCTCATTTAGGTTTGTGCTTTGTGAACAATATATATTTTGTGAAATTATCACAAATTTGTTCAGACATTTATTCCAATAGGGAAAAAAAACAACACGTCTGTTTAGATCAAATCAACTCAGGTTATATAGTGCTGATGACTGTTGTGGAAATTCTGACTTAAAGTAATAAAATAATTGTGAAGACTGAGAATGAAACCAAACAGAGTTTTGTCTTTGTCTTGCTTTAATTCTCTGCAGAGAATGATCTGGTTTCCACACAGCTTGAGTCTGTGAGCAAAGAGATAACAGGCAGGCTCACAGCCCAGTTTTATATCCTTCAAAAATATACATTGAAGACATGAGAATTCTTAAGCCAATCATGTTACTCAGTGCACATCACCCCATAGTACATGGTACTGCCTGTTAATGTAGGTGTCTGGTTACTTTCAGAACTGCTCGTTCCTGGTACACAACTTCTCTGAAAAGACCTCATTCACTCTATAGGTTACCATTGAATACTTATTGAGTACTGATTAAAGATTACATTCAAAAGATGTAGGCTATGTAAGATAAATGTATTAAAGTGAGATCAATGCAATCAATGCAAATTAAAAAATGTCCATAACATGATTGTCTCACTTTGACTGTTACAGAATCAGACCAGCACACTTCAGATCCAGGACATGACAGATATTATGTCCCCCTGATATTGGTTAGTGTAATCTTTGGACTGGTGATTGTGATTGAAACTGCTTTCTTGATTTACTACAGGAAGTATAAACAAGACAGACAAAGTAGTAAGTATTTACCTACAGCTTATAATATGACATTTATTGTGCTTTCAAAAACCTTTTGAAATTTTGTATTCATATTTTGTCACAGTTTCTGTTTTCAGTTCATTCTGATTACTTCTAAAAAACGTTTTTTTAACCTTTTACCTTTTAAAATAAAAATAGGTATTACTTATTCAGTGTTTGATCTCAGCAGCATTTGTTGTGCAACATGGTTTTTTTTATTTTGGGGGGGGGGGGGGGGGGGGGTCTTCTGGGGCATTTGACATGTTTCAAATGTCTTCGAAACATTTGAATGGTAATTATGTTTGATGTGCATGTGCCGTAATTAAGTTTATCCATTCAGATATAAAACACCATTACAAAGAAAATAATTAATACAGAAATATTATTTACAGCACCAATCTTGTGCTATTTTGCTTTTCACCGAAGAACAAACACTGTACATGTTGGTAATTAGTATGGTTAATAGTGTACCATTAGGAGCTTACAGCTAACCTACAACCTACAAAACCTACAAAAGCTTAGAATTTTAACTCAGAATAATTAAAGGCCAGTTAGTAGCAACTATCCATCAGCAGAACTGAATATCCTGATTTATGTCTATGATATAGTCTATTTATTTTTAGACAGAGAAATTCTGATCACACTTTTGTAAACTTCTGCACCATTATTTATTTTATTTATTCATTTATTTATTTTTGCCGCTGTTCCGGGTCTAAGTGGCTTCTTGCCTGCCTATGATACTGAAAGATTTACAATGAAAATGTGTTTGCTTTCAGCAAGACACTGGGTCCCTTATCAGGATGAACAAACACTGTAAGACGTGTTTGATATGGATTCATTCCTCTTGTTCATTCAGACATCATTACAACATTAACACCAATAATACAAATATAAAGAAAAAAGTCTACTTTTGATTTAACTTACAAATAACCTACTATTCTCTGTGACACTGGCCTTCATTTAGTTATTAACCCTGATATATATTTGAGAACAGATGTGTATGTTGTTTGGGAAATAATAAAATATTGGAATTCAAAAGAAAGGTCTTTGCTACTTTAGATTTCTAAATCTAAAATATAGTAATATAAGAATAAATATTTCATCAAATTATTGTATTTAAATATTTTGTATTTTATATATATTTCAATTTTAAGAGCGGATTTTTCATTGTTTGAAATATATGGTGGACTTTAAAAGGTTAAGAATTTCATTATGAGTTTATTAATTAAATGTAATACAGTGGCACTAGCCCTCTGTAAAACACAGTTACTGTTGATGCATTGAGGGTAAATAAGAGGGTAATTTAAGCAATTAACCAAAAGCTTAATGTTAAAAGAAATTGTTTAATAGTTACAGCAGGAGCCCTGACTCGGTGTTGATAATATTCATCATTTTATGTTTATAATACTGTGGCTTCATTAGTTAATTATTAAAACACTAATAATACAATAATTTGGAAGACAATTCTGCTTCAGTGTTATTATGAAGAGTTAAGACAAAGTTGTTTGTTTTTCTCTTTTTAACTTCTGTGATTCTGTGTTTTCTCAGATGCTACTGCTGGTGAAGGGAATGGTTTGGCAACAGAATCAGGTGAAACAGAAGACTTACAACAGCAGTAGTTTATAGTCAGCTCAATAATAATGTTTGAAATCAGCTCATGTGTGCTTCTGAGAAGTGAAACTAGTGAAGACTTTCATTTGATTTGGCATAAATAGTGAAACATGCTTTTATTTATTGTGACGTTGATAACAGTTCACACCATTCACACTCATGATGATCATATTGTGTTATTGTATAAAGAGACAGTTTGACTGATGTTCCCCTGTAAATAATCTTAATGTGTATATGCTTTTATTCTTTTATGTATGTTTTTATTTGATACTCATGCACTGTTACATTACACATTTTTTTATTTGGCTCTGTCACTTGGTAAGATGTGAATTTGATATCTTAAATGTGGTTTGAATTTAGAGTGACTCTGTTTCCATGAGGATTGCAATGCTAAATGCTCTTAGCATCACTTTGATATTACTGAACATTTTATTCATTCAGCTATTATTAATAAACCTCTGTTATAACAAGCACTTTTTTCCATTTCACATTGTGGATGAGCATTGAGAAAATAAAAACTTGTTTTGCCATTAATTGTGGTTTGATTGTTAACAGATTTCCCAGCCAACAAAAATATGTTCTAAGGACGTTTTGCTAACATTCCCACAAAGTCCCATGAATATTTCTGTATGTTCTCTAAACATGTTTCCTTTGTACCAGAAAGTCAATTGATTCACATTCAACACTGAACACAGCAATGAACAATCCAACAGCCGTGACTGTTGTACGTGAACGTGCCTCACATGATATGGTCTATGAAAAGTAACATTTCTGAAATAAAAAAAACGTTATCATGGTAATCATAGTTTCCACTGATATACAGGTACTATAGTTATTATTAAAAATAAATCTTCTAAAAAAACAGATAAATGAATATGTGATCTACATAATTTTTGAGATTTTTTCCAGTAGGCCTAACAGCTATGCAAACATCCAAAACTTGTAGGCCCACTATAGTTTTATTTTAGAAACATTCGCTGTAGTAAGTACAGGTGCATCTCAATAAATTAGAATGTCGTGGAAAAGTTTTATTTTCAGTAATTCATTTATTTCAGTAATTCAACTAAAATTGTCAAACTCGTGTATTAAATAAATTCAATGCACACAGACT